TTTAACAATGCAAGTTAAAACTGGGAAATACGAAATGGCTTGTGATCGGGAAACTGCTGGATCAATGATTCAGTACCTGATCATTTTTATAGTTGGACAAAATCAAGAAATCTGAAGTTGTAACCTCATGTTTTTGTAAAATGAGAGGAGCATGTCTCCCTATTTTCTTTTTTAGGTCTGAATGATATAACCAGGAACCCAACCAATGGTTATGCAGTCCTGATCATTGACTAATGGACGACATGTCTCCATCTCCTCCTGTGAGAGAAAAGTGAAGCCAAAACACCCCCACGATGGGCGCTGAAATATTGCACATTTGGAGTCAGCGTTTGTGCGGTAGGGATCGGCTAGTAGAGCTGCAATATTGAGATGCAGCCCCTTCCTCCAAACAAAACACACAATAACTTACCAGTTAAAGGCAAAGATCCCTCAGGTTGCTAAAGTCCACAGCAGAGAGTATTCTGTTTGGTTGGCTGATGAAGACAAAGTCACGCTGTCTTGACTTTTGCGCAGATTTGGCCATCTGGTTCAGACAGCTGTGTCGCCACGGTAATCAAGCGCTTTCCAGGATTCTATGACAGCAGTTTTTTATCGCTGAGCTCCTGAAAATCCTCCTAATTTCACAGAGCTGAGGGTCAGTCCGGGCCCAGCCGGAACGTCGCTCATGATATGCATTCCTTCTTAGCCTGGAGTAATTTCATCATATGTGTTCTGCCACGGCTTTTTGTTTCACAGGTTAGCGGTGATTTTTCACAGTCATCCATCCCAGTCCTCTCGCTGTGTGATGAAAGGTGCGTCTGCTGCTTGAAAGTCCTCCTCTGAAATAAAAAACGTTGCTCATTTTCATGGTGCATTGGAAAGCTAATGCTAGTATTATTGTAAGGTCTCTATTTCATAAGAAAATGTTTGCCTTAAGAAATGGAGTCAGATTATTACAAACCTCCAAGTGACATTAATTGATCCATGAGTGCTGGGGGGGCAGAAATAGGGGGGGGGGGCATACTGTACAGTGTCTGCAAAACAAATTGAAAATAATCACACAGCTGAGCTACTATACAAACTTTCTCCCATTCAGTCCCAAAGCCCACTGCAGGGTACTTGATTTTTTGAAGTTCATTGTGGTTAATCATTTCATTCTGTTTATGTCGGTTGTGAAAAAAGTGTACAGTATATTTTCCACACTTTTTCAAGAGAAGTGGCAGTACTTTCTGTGATGTGCAGTTTGCACAGGCAACCTTTTCTCATTCCAGCAGTTTGGTCTTTGGCCCTAAGATGCAAAATATGACTGTCTAGGTGTAACTCTAGGCATTAGCATGCAAAGTGCGCTGTGGACAGGTTATTAATAATGCACATGCATATTGTGGTTGGACTACAGCAATAAAGCTTCCATGTTAACAATAATTAAAAAGTTAGTAAAGCTTGCAGAGAAAAATCTCACAATTTGGACTTTTTAGGAAGCGTCCCTCAGTAAATTGTTAGCCCTATAATCCATGTCATTCCTATTCTCTTTCCCCCCCTATTCCCTGTCTTCAGCAGTTTTATAATAGCTTGAATAACAACTGGATCCTACATTTCCCATAAAACAACACCATAGTTTTGTTAGACTTTCCCTGACAGGTAAATGTCTTTACACCTATAGTTACGTATGTATATTCTTGGAGTCTTAGCTAAGTTAATAAGGAAACAGAGACCTCCTGAAGAATAAACTGAACTTTAATTTGTTTGAAATGTGTGGAGTGGCCCTTTAACACAGCTTTCCAATTGGCTCTTGCATGTCTACTTTGACTAGTTCTCATTCCAGTTGTGACTAACTTTGTGGTTTTGCGGACTGATCAAGGTGCTGACAGAAGGATTTCTCAGGCAGTATTAATCACGCTGTAACTATGTGTGTGATGACAGACGAGTACTGCTGTTAAAACTCTAACTAAGAGAGGGGAGGGAATGAAAAAGGAGAGGACGTGAAGAGTTAATTCCACTGAAAACAATTCTTCCAACCAGTCTGCCCCACTTTCAACCTCTTTCTGTGGTGGACTGACCCCCACCTACAGAGCCGCTCACTCCCCTTCGTACCCCCCTCCCATCCCTGTGGGGTCTGAGTGGGCAGAGGGAGGCTCCACGCTGGGTGTTTGATGGAGCGAGGAAGGGTGTGTAAGGTGCACTGACCCCTTCATATTGCTCCCCATGCACTCGTGCTCCAGAATGGGCTGACTTATCACATGTAATACTCCGAAATGCACAAATCAGTAGTGACAGCTACAGGACCGCTGGGGCTGTGGAGGAGGAGAGGTGGCTTCTGGGAGCTGCTGTTCCCACCCAGTCAGACTTTCAGAGGGGACAGGTGTGGGGTGGAGAAGCACATTTGGCTGTTGATGTTGTTTTGACCTCCTCCATCACTGCTTTTGCACCTTCTTTTGCCTCCCTGCAACCATTTGGAGCAGACAAACATCCTTAAAAGGCTCCCACATGTGTTGTTGTGGAAATTCGACCATGGCAGACTTGTTTATGAGTTGTGTAGGTGCTGAAGTAGACTTGATGTAATCTGTCTAATAGTCTCCTTAATCCTCTTAACTTGTAACCCACATAAACCTTTCACCACAGGAATGTGTCCCCCTATTGTTGTCATGTTTTTCCCCTGGTATTGCATGTTAGCATGTGTGTTCTAGTGTGCTGGATTAAGGTGACGTTGCAAAGTTGTGGCGGTGCCTGGAGGTGTGAGCTCTAATCACCTCTAATCACCTGACGTGTGATGGCCTGATCCCCGCTGCTCCACAAGTGTTTGTGTTTTCACCCCTTTCACACATAGACTCACATGAGGAACCTGACGCTATTCAGCCTACATCTTGAATTTTAATACCAGACTCTTGGTTACAGATTAACACCCAGTTGTTCTCATTCACACAACACCTTCGTCTGCAGCTGTATACCATTAAAATAGTTCCTTCCCTGATTTAACTAGAAACAATAAGACCCAACAATGACTGATGTGTCTTTTGAGGTTATATAAATGATATTTAAAGATTTTCTTTTCATGAAAAACTTAAAAAATATATATTGGACTCATCCTGCACTCAGGGACGTAGCCTATACAAAAATAATTCTCACAAGGCCGCCTAATTTTCTCGCATGCTCAATGTCAAATGCTGTTACACATTTTTACTACTGACATTTTTCATCGGTTCACCACTTCAGAATCGATCAGCAGCTGAAATGAAAAAGTACATATTTGATAACCCTTTGATAACACTTACTGTTAGCAGTCAATCACGTCTTAGCTAGCATTACCATAAGCAAGGGGGTCATTACTTCCCCGTTGTGTCATGTTAAACTTTTTAGATGGTAATGTTACTATTCAGCCACTTCAAAGCTAATGGTATAATCATATTTGGTAGTTAAATGCTAATATTAGCTTTGGTATGGCTAATGGTATAATCAGCTTTGGTAGCTAAATGCTAATTTTAGCTTTATGTTGGCAGCTAATGGGTTTTCAAATATGTTGAGTTAACTTAAACTGTCAGTGGCACAATGACTTTCTGATTAACCCTAGTCATGGCCTTTTTTTTTGTTTCTGATCAATCTGGAAACAATACAATTCTAATGATGTGTCAGTTTCCCTCCATTTTTATGACTTAGAACTCTTCAGTGTGATGTCAGAGGAAAATGGCTGCAAAATATAAGTGCGAATATAGTCAAAGAAAGGCTTTCTTGAATATAAAGACCCTCTTCTATGATTGACTTGACCCATAACTATCTTTGTGATTCATTTATTTACACTAATTTGGGCCTCCATGAATACCAATCATTATCTGTGACAAATACTTCCCTAGACTTTGTTTAGGAAAAGTGTGACTATCAATCTTAATGAAGTTGCATTCTGCCCGTCACTTTATAGGGTCTTTAGATCAAGATGAGGTTTCAGTTGAACCCACCTCAAATTGGTGGAGGTTCAAGTTTTTTTTGTTTTTTTTTAAGATTTATTTTTGGGCATTTTGTGCCTTCATTGGAGAGATAGGACATCGGATAGAGAGGTTCAAGTTGTTTTGTTTGTTTTTTGGAGTACGTAATTTTTGATTTGTGCAGTTCAACTATTACATCTGCCTGTATAGTACATACTGACTCACAATTTCTTGGCAATTAATGCAACAACTCATTTTTAACCTGTTTTGGTTGTTTAAAAAGATATTATTTATGCCTGTTAAAACATGCCGTAGCTGTATTTTCTTGTGCACAGCTTTGTAGGACACATAAATCTTTGGTTCTAATACACACCCACCTCGGATACCAGTTCTGTTCAGGTTGTCAAACTAGTGTAAGCTCTGCCTTGTTGAGTACTGCAAAGTTTTCCAAGTTTGTATTCTCTACACTCCTTCAACTCCTTCGATTTTTTTTTTTTTAAAGATTTTTTTTTGGGCTTTTGTGCCTTTAATTGAGAGATAGGACAGTGGGTAGAGTCGGGAAAGAGAGTAGGGAATGACGTGCAGGAAAAGAGCCACAGGTCGGATTCGTACCTGGGCCGTCCGCTTGGAGGACTACAGCCTCCATACATGTGGCGCGCACACTACTGCGCCACCAGCGTCCCAACTCCTTCGATTTCAGCGTCCCTTCTGGCATGCTGTGTGTTTGTATACATGTGGCAGTAGGTCATAATGCTTTCACTGCTCCCATTCACACCTCATTCAGCTCCTCTCACATCCACGGCACTGGTTCACACCCTGTTGCCCTCTTCTGTTCTGCTCTCCTTTCTATGTATGACTGATGTGAGAATATGTAAAGTGTGTGTGTTTCTCTGTGTGTTTCAGTGTGTGTGTGTGTGTGGGAAAGAGAGAAGCTGAGCATAGATTCAGATATACTCAGCTGTTCTGTAGTGAACCGGTCACAGAAAGGGCTGGACAAATAGCACAGCTAGGGAGCAACTTAGTAACACCCTCTTCCTCCCCACTTTCTTTTCTCCCCCCTCTCTCTCTCTCTCTCTCTCTCTCTCTCTCTCTCTCTCTCTCTCCCAGGCTGTCAGTGTGGAGTAGAGCTGGAGGCTGCGGGGCTGCTGCGTGCTGTGGGAAGTTCCTGAGAGTCACTCAGAGACACACACTCATACAGAAAGACTGGATTGGCGCTCTTTCACAGAGGGATTTAAAAAGCAGTCTTGCACCGTTGTCTCTTTGGACGGGCTTGTTTGTTGTAGCAGAACCTCAGGGATTTGAAGGAGGCAACGACTGGGGTCGGTGCCGGCGGGATGGTGGTGGTGTTGGCCTGGAAGGCTGTACTGCTGGTGACCGGAGTGGCATCACTTAGCCGGGGTTCTCATGGTGAGTATTGTGCCGGACACCTGCTTGTTTTTGCTTCTCTGCTGAGTTTATCAGGCCGAGGCTTTCATTTTGTCACTTTGTTGTCTTTTTTTAACACACAGAAGTTTTAAGATAATTATTTTAGATTTTCCCCTTTTCTTCTTAGGTATTTACTGCTATAGTTTGAGCTGTAGAGGTTTTTCACACCTTCAAGTCAAAGTATTGCAGGTTGATCATTCTAGCTGTGAGGTTTACTGTCTATTTTTTACTCTGTGGTATTTATGATGAGCAAAAGCTATTATGATCTCCACAGGGGCCACCATGAGAACGGGTGTGTATTTATCTGCCCTGTCCCCTCTCCCCCTCCTTACCCACACCCCCCTTTTAGTTCGTGTTTTGAATTGTTTGAAGATGGACAGCCAGTTGTCTTTTTTACGATAAATGCCAACAGTGTCAGGCTGCCCCCCGTTAGGTTGTGACAGGCGAGGAGGGTGGACAGGTTCCCAGCATCAAGGAGATGACACTTGTGCATTTGTTCTGTTTGTGAACACAGAGAGCAGGGAGACATTATTAGTCGTTGTAAGCCTTGGTACAAGTGTAGTTTAGGACTTTTGTTTTTTCACTCACACGTTTAAAAACGTCTATTGAACCGTTACTTTAAGTTGGACATGGACACATATTCTTTGCTGTTCCAAATCTGTCTTTCTAAAAGCTGAAGCACTTCATGAAGTAGTTAATCCACACATCATTAGCAACTATTTTCATTGTCATATAACGATATTCTGCCTGTAAATTATTATCCTGCGGGTTATTTGACTGTTAGTTGGACGAAACGAGGTGTACGAAAATTTCACCTTCACAAGATTATAATTGATATTTTCTACAATTTTGTAAAATAGACCAAAGCGATAATCTGCCAATAGAAAATGAATCCACAGATTAATCGATAAGGGTAGAAATCATTGGCTGAAGTCGCACTGTTACTGATTTATGTGGACAAGCTTAACATTTGCAGGAATACCCGGTCAAATACTCATTAAGGACACAGTTGGGTGTCAGGCTGTAGAGGCAGCATCTGGGTATACACAAACACACACACACACACATAAACACACACACAATCGCACGCACAGTGTTTGTAAATATAGCAAATAATGAGAGGGTCTGGAAATTGTCCCTGTATGACTCTTTGTTGAAGCTGGATTTAGCCAAATGATAGATGGTGTATCAGTTATTTAATTTAGAAACTTTATTTTAACCCTCACCCTGCCATAGCCTCTTGTATGCATCTTTTAGTTTCATATGAAGACCATATGTCCATACTTCACATTTGGTTTAGATTTATCAGGGTGTGTTTTGCCCCTTATAGTGTTAAAGTTAAAAACATCTCAGAACAAAGTTTACATTTTAAGTTTAAAGTATTATCATTGATTGAGATGTAACATATCTGAGGTAATTAGAGAGTGACAAGGTGTCTTGAACAATACTGGTATATAAGGTATAGAGTATGGGTAAATACATATATCAGCTTCACATTAGAACATAAAGGGAGTTTGATTTGAACCCTGGTACAAAGCTTTACTGAGAGTGTGTCAAAAATAAAGACCAGCTGTAAAACCCCAAAGTGACTGAGAGGTTCAGAGCTGGCTGATACTTTCACAGTTGGTCAACAAATACCTCGGCTCATGATGAATGTTTCTTCAGAGATTTTCTTTTATTCTTATCTGTGCACACTGAGCAAAGTGTTTAAAGTCTCATCCTACCTTGAGGTTCAGGAGCGACCTATAATAATATAATATGTGAAACAATAGAGCAATATTCTCACAGGATCATCACAGAATAGCAGCATTGATTTCTTTTCTTACATTGTTTCCTTTTCCTCCGTTTTCCTCCTTCTGCTCACTTTCTTTAACCAATACTTGAGCCGCCAGTTGCTTTTTCCTTTTTCCTATGTGATCCGATCTGTTAAAGCACCCCAAATGATTAAAACATGTGGGAGGTTGCCCATAAATCTGAGCAGCACGGTCAATTTGCCACCTGTTTCTACAGGCTAGCGAGGTTCGCAGAGAGTAGATGAGCCCTGGCCTGTTTCTTCCGGTGGCGTTACAGTAGAAATATTGTGCATTTATATGACAACCATCGCCTACCCTTTTGTGATGGTGGCATTTTTGAAAACCTTATTATTTTTGGCTCATCTCCTATATCCACATTTTGGTCTCATTTCAACACATGTGAGAAACTCAAATTTGCTGCATTGCTTCGTCAGGGATATAGCTGCCAATACTTTCTGTCAAAGAAAAACACCTTCCGACAAGTATCCACTTCAGACACGCAAAACATTTTAAAGTATATAGAAGTGAAATTTCAATTGTCAAGAAAAAGACACAAACCTATAAAGGCTTTTTACAAATATCCTGTTTAAATTAAATGAAGAAGTGCAAAGAACTGCAGAAGTGCAAAGAACTGCAGTTCCTCAAGTGTCCACTTGAGTATGGCTCCAAAAACCAAAGAATCCCCATTAAGCCTGATGTTGAAATGCCCATTCTTACTGAAGGTGTGAATACTTTTAAAAGCCTGGTATAAAATGTGTTTTTTGGTGTTAATAGTTAATTCTTTTATTAGTTAAAAGTGATTAAGGACTGATTTTCTTTTCCCTATCATGCTTGATTATTTAAAGGCTTACGCTGAGAGAGTTACGCTACATAGTTACGGGCGTCTTGAAGCTGTTTGCCTGGAAGTTTTAGGCCCCCCTTAACTCTGACTCTTTGCCTGTTACTAGATTGATCAAAAGTTAGGTAGAGATAGCATTTCCAATATGGCGACCCCCTTCGCTGGCTTGATAACTCCTCTCTAGAAACCAGTGGTTGATGTTACTGTCTATGGGTGCAGAAAGTTGAATGTTTTCAGCACATATGCTCCTGTCCTTTGTTCAGACTCATAAGATAGTTGTGTAAAATGTATGAACTACAGGAATCCTTAAGAGTCGCTTTCCCAGCAATGTGTAGTGTTTTCATTTACAGAGATCTTTGAACATCTGTCAATGTCAGCTTGACTCTGTGGGAGTGCAGTTTCGTCTTTATCAACAACAATTTGCTTTTGCCTCTGTTACATCCATGTGAAGGAGTTAAAACTGAATTATATTAGGTCTGATTACTGTGTGTATTAAACTCCTTTAAGTCCATACGCGAGTTGGCAGTATGCAGAAAGTTTTGTGAAGCATGAACTATGCATCAGACATCTGTGTGAGTGTTGTGGAATAAGGTCAGAGTGCAGCGCGGTGCAGCGGTCCAGAAGTACAAACCAGCAGTGGTTGGTCCTCAGCAGGTCCAGGCTCCTCCGGCCTTCTGTGTGCTGCTTCCTGACAGGATGTGGATTCGGTTCCCCCACACAGAATCTGATCCCCAGGCAGATGTGCTGCTCCAGTAGTCAGGCATGGGGGCATGTGTGTGTGTGTGTGTGTGTGTGCTGGTGTTTTTAAGCATATTTGCCTTGCAGGACTTGGAAGCTTGGGACTTGTATATTCAGGGAGTGCTCGAGACACGTTTGTCTGTTTTCAACTTTTTTTTAAATGGAAGCTTATGAATTGTCACAACGTCAATGAACAATAATACTGAAGATGTTTTTGTTATTGAGACACATACTGTAAACATAACAATAGTATGATTTGCTTTATACACTTGAAGCAACTTGTTTTTTACTCTCAAAGAGACCTTCAACATCCTTGGATAAAAACAGAAGCTTCATCATGTTTTTGGCTGAGGTAGTATCGTGGGCTAAAATGACATATTGTGGTGGCGTTACGGCCCCGTTCTCACAGTGTGTCTGTAATGGAGCCCAGCATTAGCCCCTGTCTCGTTGCTTTTTCCAGTAAGTACAGACCACACGGACAGATAGACGAGCAGTGAGGTGAAATGATGGGGCATTGTGGGTAGACAGTTTAAAAAAAAAAAAAAAAAATCTTTAACTCCAGAGAAAGTGGGAATAAATAAGATTGAGATGGTGTGATGTGATGAGTTCCACACTCACTCATCCAACACACACACACACACACATTCAATGTTAGGTTGTTATTCCGGAAGGAAAGTACATGTATCCATAGCTCCAGCACTTATTAATAATCACAGAATAAACCAAAGGAATCTGGCTTACACTGTCAGGATACCGAAGTAAAACTGAAGGAATGTTTTGGAATGTTGATTGATGGATACAGTAGCTTCGATAAACATTGATCCATCCATCTTTCCAACCATGTAAATGTATGCATAGTCTCTGGGTGGACTGTGGAACCGAATTGCCCTCAGGGATAAATAATGTTTTCTAAGTCATCCATCTGTCTACCCATCTATCCGGGCTAGTAGTTCTGTTTTTTTTAATGGCAAAAGAGAAAACGAGCCATAAACTATGTGAAATGGAACTACAACTGAGACACTCATTTTTGAGTGTGGGAGTCATGTTGTTATTATAAAGGGAAATTAAAGGGGGTTTTTTTTAAACTGAATTACATAGAAATTGTCAAGGATGTTAAAGAAATGAGATATGTGATTATATATTGTAAGACAAGGAAATATACATATTAGTATGTGAATAAGTAAATGACCTTAATGGAGGAAAATAAACTATTTCAGAACAATAGTTCAGAAAGTCATTCTTTTCTTACCCTTTTACTGTATTCAAGATTCTGTGATTTATCAGTAAGTTTAATGAATGTCAGGGCATCATTCTCATGGCTAAATGCTTGGAATTCATTGTAATCCATCCGAGGTCAGTCAGTCTCTGTGTCTGCTTTGTGTTTGCCCTTCTGTGAGTGAGTATTTTGTTGTGGATATAGCATCTCTCTGCTGCATTCACACCGCGGTGGAAAGTTTTCTCTCTGCGCTCAGTGTGAATCCCGGACAGTGGCACTACTTTTTCTCAAGGCGGAGCTGGGGCGCAGAGTGGTTGTGAAGGGTCTACTGCAGACGCACAGAGATCCTCCTGCTGCCTATAAATCTGCTGCTGTGGGTGGTGGGAGCCTCAAAGTGACCATCACATTCCTCAACCGCAGCAGTCCGGTCACGGCCGGTAAACATGGAACAGGTTGCAGGAAGCTGCACGTTGGAAATAGCCGACCTGACGCTGGCTCTGCGGCAGAGAAGAAGGCGAGTGTGTGTGGAATGTGCTCCTCAGACACGTCCTGGTGTGTGTACAATATGTGCACATATGAGAGTGTCTCGTGTGGCAGAGGCCTTTGAAGCCTGTAGGGGGGTTAAGAGAGATGAGGGTGCAGTGCTGGGGTGGAGGAGGATGTATGGCCCCTTTTGCAGGCTGGTTGTGACCCCCCTCAGGGTCAAAGTGCACCATGAAGACACTCAAGAAGATGTCTCCTTCTGAGGAGGTTATTTATCACGGCCACCTGGAGTAACTTATCTCCTGTTTCTCTCATGTGCTTCTCTCTGCTGTGATGAACAGCCTGTGTGAGGGTTCTCGGCTCACAGATTAAATGGCTGAAGTCTGATTTAGTGGAACAACCAGGTTAACTGGAAAAAAAAGGTTGGATAAGTTTGTGTGTCCCTCTCCTGGATATACAATTCCCCTGTCCACCTTTCTCTCCTTCACCACTGCTGATAGCTGTTTAGCATTTTTTTTAATCCATTTTTTAAAATAGATTTATCAAAAGGACATTTTTTAAACTGGAACGTGTTATTGTGTCAGCCCTAAAAATGTCATACACTTAAAGCTCCTTTGAGGGACCTTTTAGTTTGTATAGATTTTGGCTCCCCCTGTGGACAAAACAGAACCTTTTTATCCTGGACACATAAATATAATGTCAACATGTCAACCTGCTTTATTTTAACAGTTAACTGTGTCGCTCACTGGGATGTTTACTGTTCCCTGCAGCTAGCTCCTGAAATCCTGGTCCGACCCCTACCCCCCCGACAGCTGTTAAAGGCATTCAAAACCATATGTAATTAATGAATCCTTATGCTGATGGTCTCGTTTACTTCTGTTGAACATAAAGACTCATCAGGATTAATTTCAGTGGGTTTTATAACCATCTTGAAAACTCATCACTGGAGCTTTAATCTAAAAACAGAAACAGTGTTGTAGTCGAGCAGGGACGTTTAAATGGAGTAGGGACATTGTTTTACACATGTTTCAAGTATTTCAAATTACATTTTTCGCATTTTTGCTTGAAATGTATTTGTGATTATAATCATGCTCTAGCTTGTATTGCATTCATTGATGCACTTAGTAAGCTGATACAAGCACATCATACACTAAAGACGTAGAGGAAGGACAGCGTGTTGGAAAATACAAAACATAGAAGTAAGATCTGTTTGCAATGACACACGGTCCACGGAGGAAGTGTCAGAGACCATGCTGAGATGTTTTAACCAGAGCAGAGCGATGACCAAGGCAGTCTTAAAGACAACACATGAACTGCAGTCATAAACGCGGGGTTATTTGGAATAGCACCCAGAAGAAGCTGATACTGATGGTGATGAGCTGTGAATGAAGGCGCTCCAGCTGGACTCAGTCACTGTGCGACTTCTAATTGCTTCAAGTCGCTGTGTGTTTGTGTGTATCAAACAGTTTCTTAATGTGTGTGTGTGTGAAGATGGACGAACAGCCTGTGGAATGTGCGGGGGATGCAGGTCAGATTTCGGGGTGACCTTGAGTGTGCCCCTTAGCTGACACAGCAAATCTGTTAGTTGTGTGCTGTGTGTGTGTGTGTGCGTGTGTGTGTGTGTGTGTGTGTGTTTGATTCAAAGAGTTAAAATGAAACAAAAGGAAAAGCGTTTTAATAAAAATACGTCAAGCTTTTTCTTATATGCCCAAATCTTGTATTGGGTTTATTTTCTGAGTGCCATCGAATCAGTATTAGAAATAAATAAAAAAAGGCATTTTACATTATTTATCTTTTTCAATGTGGTTTATTAACTAAATGTTCTCTGTCACTAGGTCATGGTCCAAGTGTAACAAAGATGGCCTCTGTTTTTGTTTTACATCTTCAAGCCTATTCTTACAGCTGATCTGTAAAGCTTCTCTTTTGGACGAGTATAAACAACCTAAGTTTGAAAAACAATCTCATATCATCTTAAATTCTACAGAGATTATTTATAAGGTAAGGTTTTCTTAGAGCACGAATAAAACATGATCGTAGTGCACAAAACGTTTTCTTTTGAGACATTTTGAGTGAGTCGTATTTAAAACCAGAGTGCTGACTCATTATAAAACCTGCTCTACAACTATGGGACATTTTCAAAAATACAATGCATGTGAAGACAACATTAAATTGTCATTATGCGAAGGAGATGATCATAAACCTGAATACAAAATTCATAAACAAAATATTTCGCTACTAGATGCAGTATGCGCTGCTTCTGTTTAGACGGTTTGTAGAAGTTTAACAAAAGGGAAAACAGATTAGGTGTATGTTAATGATGTTAAATAGAAGGCAATGAAAAGTAGCAGCAGCTACCTGCTGTCAGTTTTTATGTCAGTTCTCCAACTGATTTGAGCCTGACAGCTCAACTTCTGATCATTAAAGATGTTGTGTGTCGTCTCCTCAAGGCCAAAGTTTGTCATGCTGCCGTAACTGTTGCTTTTTACTCCAAAGCTCAAATCCTCCTTTCCTTACATCAGCTTTCCTGTAACATTTTACCCTGGAGTGACCTCCCTCTGTTTTTCAGAATGTATCGGAAAAAAACATGACAAATCCCCGATAAGTTCCTGGTGTGTATGTTTTTTTTCTGTCGTTTTTGCACACTTGCAATTCACATGTGACAAACCAAGGCCACTGAGAGGGAGGATCAGAACACCTCCTCAAATTTCCCTCTGACAGAAACACTAACACAGATAAGATTCAGGATTGGAAGCACACAGTGTACCACTTAGGGAACAGTTGTGCTCCAAACACACTTAAAATGTGCTCTTTTTTATCAGGCAGTCTTCAGGAGGGGAATTTGTTCCCCCATTTCTATGCATGGTTTGCTTTCTGATTGCTTAGATTTGCCAAAACATAAAAATATGAAAGAGCATCAGGAAGCTTTTGTTTCCTATGAATGGATGTACAGAAGCTGACAGATGGATAAGATGTCATGATGTCTTGTTGTTTTAGCTGCTTTGTTGTTGTAGTTTTGACACTAATGAATACCTTATAGCTTGATTTTACAGTTTAATATATATATTCACAAAATAATTATATAACAAAGAGAGAGCAAAAGAGAGAGCGAGAGGAGGAAATCCGTCTAGTGTGACACGGTACAGTTCAGCTGTCCAACCACAGAGGCCATCAGGGACGAGCTGCTGTCGGAACTGGTTTTATTCTACACTGGTACATCTTTGCACCTTTGGTAATTTGATGCTAAGGATGAAAAAAAAAGGTCTCACATTGTGTAGATCTTTCTACAAGATAAATATGGATATGTGAGGGTTTATTTCAATAGCATGAAGCGATAAATGATTATCGAGTATTCTTACAATTCACTTGCAAGTAGAATAATTAAGCCTTACTTTAAATACAAATATGTTCTACTACTTAGAGTATTATGTTCAGCCTTAATGTTTTCCTTTTTGAATGACATTCATTGCTGTTGTTATATTTGTACACAGTTTGGTTGTTGATGTGGCATCACTCCAGGCTCACGTTCACACACTTAAAGGAAGATCATTCTGTGTCCAAAGAGCTGCCTTGTACTGATTCAGTGTTCAGTGGCAGCTGTGAAGATTACCTCTTCTTTTTCGAAGAATGAGTCAATCCAGAGTGATAATATTTTTCCTGCTCCTGCTCGCTGTATTAGTACACATTCAGCTGGACTCAGATGTTTTGACTCTGTAGATGTTTTGGCTCTGTAAGTCACTGTGCAGATGAGAATGTAGATGACTGAGTCGGGTTCCGCTCGAGGTTTCTGACTGTTCAGAGGAAGCTGTTGAGGTTTCCAAATGCTTGGTGGATTCATGTTTTTATGTTGCTATGAATATTTTTAAAAACATGATCTGTGATATTGTATAGAGGTCATCACTTCTATTGGCATGAAATTGGACTGTTGTTCAACATTATTGAATTTATAATAGGATATATTAACAACAAGAACACATTTATTGATAACATAACACTCTGGAAGATCAGTGCCTGAGCCAAATGTGTTTAAAAAGTTCCTCTTGAAGAATAATGCAACAATGTACCATAGACTCACACACAGAAAAGTATTATACACTCTCCGCTTACTCAACATTAATACACAGGCACTTGAAGCAGGCTGACAAGGACACACACACACACACACACACACACACACACACACACACACACACACACACACACACACACACACAGCACAAAGACGTCTTTCTGCTGAGTGATGTTATTCTGGTTGCCGACTTCATGCAGGTACATTGAGTCCGGTCCAGAACAGCAGGATAGCTTTCAGTAGCACATACTCACACTTTCTGTGGATTGAATTGCCATGGTAACGGTGCCAATGCAAGCTGATGCTTTTTTTTTTAATTTATTTATTTGAATGTAAGTCAAAAGACCTATTTGAAAAAGAGCCGTAATGGTGTTTGATTTATTCCGTCTTTAATTTTCCTGAGGTATGTGTACTTAAGTTTTGACTCTTTTGGCTCTGCTTGAGCTCAAGGAGTGCCCAGATGTTTTGGTCTGCCGTGATGCTGAGCCTCGTCTCTCTCTCTCTCTCTCTCTCTCTCTCTCTCTCTCCCTGTGCAGCCAACATGTTGGACACCATGCTGCTGAAGAATGGGTGGAAGGGAGGATCGGCGCGGAGGGCGGAGGAGAGCAGCAGCACGGCCACAGTTTCAGCTCAGAACATGCTCTGGTGTCACTGCTATCATCACTGCCCAGAAGACTCCGTCAACAACACATGCATGTACGGGGAAGCACACACTACAACAATGCTCACAAGCAAGCCGACTGTTACAATCACTCCTTTAGCTCGTAGCTGTTAAAAGACAACACAGAAAATGATCCAGAGGAATTCTCTTTGAGACACCTCGTTACCCGAAGTGTTTACTTCAGTTACATCCTTTAATGAGATCCTTTAGTCCTCCTGAGGCTCAGCTTGTGAACTCTCTCATTAGCCAGCCTATGTGCATTAGAGGTATTAATACTCAGGTAGACATCATGTGCTGTACTTTACAGAAACACAGCTGCTGATGTATAAATATTATATTATGAAGGGAATGTCAGTGCTTGAATGTCAGATCTCTGATTGTATGTTTAGAGGCTGCAATTTATAACTTTTTCAATGTTCTTTAAACTTAATAACCATTTTTTAATCAAATATTAGGGCTGTCGGGGGCGCAATGGTCAGGGCGCGCGTCCCATGCATTGAGGCTGTCGTCTCAAGCGGAAGGCCCGGGTTCGCTTCCACCCGTGGCCTCTCTCCGCACTTCATTCCCCGCTCTCTCTCTAAATCTTTAAAAAAAAATATATATATTAGGGCTGTCAAAGGATTACATTTTAATCAGGATGAATTGCTGAATTTAAATAGCTAACAGGGATTATTAAATGTTTTAAATTCAACTATTTTGCATTGCAAAACAGCTTTTAAGAAGAAAATACAAACTCAAGCTTTGTTTCTGCTGCATCTGTTTTTATACAGTTTTCAACTCGACATTTGGAGCTCCTTTAATTCAGCCCGAACACAAATCTTTGGTTCTTGACTTTAAACTGTTTCACTTATTTTGGCTGAACAATGGATAGATTTGAAATTGATTTTAGTTCCAGTAAGCAGTTAAAATTCTGGTGACAGGTTTTATAAACCCCATGAAACATATGGTCAATGATGAAAGAGTCCCAGGCGACGGTCACTCATGTGATGATGTTTGTACTTTCTGCTAGGACTGACGGTTACTGCTTCACCATGGTGGAGGAGGAGGAGGGGGGTCTGGCAGTGATCACCACGGGTTGTTTGGGTCTCGCTGGCTCAGAGTTTCAATGCAGAGTAAGTCACCTGTTTATTTCTTTACATGTATGTCTTTCCTCCTGTTCAAACCCTGACTCGTGTGTGTGTGTCCTCTTTATGAGGGTTAAGTACTGCTCTTTATGAGAGCTTTTAAACCTGATCTGTTGAGCTCTGCTATCTATGCACACAAACGGAAATGTTTGATTATTGTTATTGTTGTCTTTAGGAATAAGTGTAAGTTGTAAATAAGCTAAGCTGTAAATGTTTGTTCATGAGATGTAGTAGATTGTCTTGTGTTTATTTGTGTGTTTGCGTTGTAGGACACGTGGAATGCACGTTCCAGGAGAGCCCTCGAGTGTTGCACAGATCAGGACTACTGCAACAGAGACTTGCACCCTACTCTTCCTCCGCTGGTGACATCAGGTAAGACACACACACACTTTGTTCACACCACTTTTCACACACTGAAATCCAGCCTCGCTTTAAAGCCTGAGTGGCTTTTAGAGCGGGCTCATTCAGGCCTTGCTGGGTGGTGATGGGGAGTGACAGTTTAAATTGTTACAAACCACAGCGCCATGCTGGAGTGAAGTGGCACATGCTGATGCAGGAGGGCAGAGAGAGAGAGGGGGAGAGGTGGGGGGGGGGGGGGGGGGGGGAGAGGGGGGGAGAGAGGGAGAGAGAGAGAGAGAGAGAGAGAGAGAGAGGGTGAAACAGTGCCTGCAGTCTCTGCTTGTTCTCTCACCCTCTAATGAAAAGGACAGCCTCTCCCTGGGGCCTGCTTGAGTTTCTTGCCTCGGGACGGATGTGAGGTATCTGTCCATCTGTTACTCCGCAACACACACACACTCTTTCTCTCTCTCTCTGTCACTCCCGTTTTTCAGACAAACTCCCTTCTATGCGTTCACACAGCATCAAACACTTTAATTTAACCTTCAAGCAAACCATTCTAAACTAAATTGTCGTATCAGTGATGTGCTTGATAATTAACGTGTTGCTTACTTTTTTAGTTTTGGCCGTCATTTCTGAGTGTGACAGTGCTTCAACAAAGTCAGACAGAGAAGCATGAAAAAAAGCTTCCAGGTTATCAAATATGATAAAAGTGAAATGTTCATCTCTAGTTTCAAAGGAAAAATGTGCACAAGAGCATATATGTAAAAAAGAAATGAAATCCCTGCAGGCAAATAAAAGTTGAAGTGGCTGCATTGTTCAAAAGTTTCCTCGACTAGAGGGGAAAACGTTTTTTTTTTTTTGAAGGCACTTAGTTTGATACTCTAGCATGGACACATGGTTTTAATTTCTGACTTGATAAGTTATGAAGGATGATAATACCGTCATACTTATGATGTGATCATGTCAATGCCAGCATGTTAAATATGTTTTTTTTGCATTTTAAAATGGTTGTGATTATTAAAAGATAACATTATTGTATACTTCATTATGAACCAGCGTGAAGGTAATATAGAACACACAGTTTCTGTTTCCGTCTATAAAAGTGAACTATTATCAAAGCCGTCATGAAACACATTCAGGGGATTAGTTGGACAGTTTGCTATTCATGCAGTTCTTTTCTACTTTTAGTCCTCTGTAGTTCAGCACTCTTTTTAAGGATCCCCTGTGCTCATGCGTCCGTTATTTTGTGGGTGTGTGATCGGCAGAAGCACAGTAGAAAGGCTAGAGTCCCAGAGCTGCCGGAGGCCTCTGGGGTTTCTGGTGCGATGTCAGAGTGACAACTGATCTGTTGGATTCAGGAAGGGGATGTGATCGATCACGCGCTGTGGGAGGAGGAGGGTTTTGTGGGAGGCAGGGCGGGTTAGAGGGAGCAAGGGGAGAAGGAGCTTGTCCCTGTCGATAATGAAAATCAGAGAGATGTTTGAGGAGATAACTGAACAAATGACACCACTGTCAGATACTCATCAGTTCTCATTTTACACACTTTTCAATCTCACTTAGGGCACGATCATTCGATTTAAGGAGGTTAAAATAACAACAATTACATGTGAAATCTATCTTATAGAAAGAAGATAGGCCCGCACATTTGCGCAATTGCCGCAAAAAAATGGGGTTTTAACGATCACATCACTGTGTTTCAACCAGAGGTCTTCTTCAGGTGATAATCTATTTAATATAACATTAGCACATTGTCCTTATTGTTTCAGATTATGTTGACAGCAGTATCCAGTACATGGCTCTCTTCATCTCAATCACAGTCTGCAGCATCATCCTCGGCCTCGTCCTCATCTTCTGCTACTTCAGGTAAAAACCACAGACTTTTCATGACTGCATGACAATAATCATAATTCTTGATATGCACTTAGCTTATTTGCGTGACTTTTCTGTGGCAGATACAAGCGGCAGGAGTCGGAGCCACGCTACAGTATCGATCTGGAGCAGGAGGAGACCTACATCCCTCCAGGAGAGTCCCTGAAGGACCTGATCGAGCACTCCCGCAGCATCGGGTCTGGATCTGGCTCAGGACTCCCTCTGCTGGTAGGAACAAATCATTGCACATGAAAGTGAAATCTCAAACTGAGTCTCTTTTCAAATCATTAAACACTGCACTGTATCATATTCTATAATCATATGATATCATATAGCATAAGGAGATAAAGATGGAAACAGTTTAATGCTATTATGATGAAAGCAATGGGATAATAAATCGTTTGTTTTCCACACAATTCACTTTTTTTTGTAGGTTCAGCGTACCATCGCAAAGCAGATTCAGATGGTGAAGCAGATCGGAAAAGGGCGATACGGAGAGGTGTGGATGGGCAGGTGGAGAGGAGAGCGAGTGGCTGTCAAAGTCTTCTTCACCACAGAAGAAGAGAGCTGGTTCAGAGAAACAGAGATATATCAGACCTTTCTAATGAGACATGACAACATACTAGGTGAGGCCTCATAAAGAGAGTGGGAAAAACTGATTGAGAGTCAAAAAGTAAAACATTTTGTGGTATTTGTATAAACATGAACATCCCTTTTTTTTCCCCTCATAATTCCCAGGGTTCATAGCAGCAGATATTAAAGGAACCGGCTCGTGGACTCAGCTGTACCTGATAACAGACTACCATGAGAATGGGTCTTTATACGACTACCTCAAGTCTAACACGTTAGACGTCAAAGCTCTGCTGAAACTGGCCTACTCGTCCATCTCAGGCCTGTGTCACCTGCACACCGAGATCTACGGCACGCAAGGCAAACCGGCCATCGCACACAGAGACCTGAAGAGTAAAAACATCCTGGTAAAAAAGAACGGATCGTGCTGTATAGCGGACCTTGGACTCGCTGTCAAGTTTAACAGGTACAACTTGACTTCTGGACTTTTAGTTTTGGATCATCTTTGAACTTGAGTTACTCATCATGTCTGTTCCTCCTCTCTGCTCTAGTGACACCAACGAGGTGGATATTCCTCCCAACCTAAGAGTGGGTACGAAACGCTACATGCCCCCTGAAGTGTTGGATGAAACACTAAACAGCACCTACTTCCAGTCCTTTATCATGGCCGACATGTATAGTTTCGGCCTCATTGTTTGGGAGATGGCCAGACGTTGCATATCTGGAGGTTAGAACACGTTTTCGATACATGCTCATGCTTCCTTTGTCCCTCTACACACTCTCACGTACACCTGTGTTTCCTTGAAGGTATTGTGGAGGAATATCAGCTGCCCTATTACGACCTGGTGCCCACGGATCCTTCCTATGAGGACATGAGGGAAGTCGTGTGCATAAAGAAACAAAGACCTTCATTTGCTAATCGCTGGAGCAGTGATGAGGTAATGAAAATGTTTTTTTGTTACAATTCAACCTCATGTCTTTATTCATGGTAAATAAGTGATTCATTTGTATTCTATAGAGAAGTATTACACCTTTTGAAGAAGAACCCCTCAGGTTGCCAGGTTTTGATAAATGATCTTTAGGTGCTATGTTTTCTGCACCGTACTCTTAATAATAATCTGTTCAGTTAAGAAAGCCGTCAGGTCTGCAGCGAATCCTTAGAAGTATTAAAACAAGTAATATGATTTGTTCAGCATAACAATCGAAGAAGAAAAGAAATAAGACAATTTATGCTGGATGATATATTCTAAAAAGGTTCAAATTTAGACAAAAATATCAGTCACATAACAGATCTAAGACACTGGATTATTTAGTTTAAGTTTAGTGTTCGTCTTTTTTTCCCACCAGGTTATTTGCTCACTCCAACATGTGGTATTTAATGCTATCACAATGTCATTTTTCAATTTATGTTGAGCCAAAAATCAAATGTAAAAAGTCTGCCTACTTTTAACCAGTGTTATGTTATTAAACTGGATATTTTTGGAGCTTTAACTTTGACCTTTTTTTTTTTTAAGATTTCTTTTTGAACTCTGTATGCCTCAATTTAGAGATAGGACAGTGGATAGAGTCAGAAATCAGATAGAGAGAAAGGATTTGAACCCGGGGCTGCCCACTTGCAGGACTACAGCCTTTGTACATGGGTCGATTTACCAATACCCAAAGGTCGCTGAATATACCAAAGACAGGGCTTTTAATTTGATCCAGTTTTTAAAATGTGGTTATTTTGACACCGGTACTCTGACATTTTTACATCTCAGTCAGGACCAAAAGTTTCTGTAGCCCTTCTCATCAGATTTACCAAAAACCCAGGTTACAAGTGTAGTCCAGTTTTGTATGTTAGTTTATCCCAAACACAGAATAATCAATAATGGATGAATACAATTTTCACAACTTGTAAATCAAAGTACTGCTGTATTCTTATGTACATGCCCCTGTGTGTCATCAGTGTCTAAGGCAGATGGGGAAACTGATGTCAGAGTGCTGGGCTCACAACCCGGCCTCCCGCCTCACAGCCCTGAGGGTGAAGAAGACCTTGGCGAAGATGTTAGAAACCCAAGACATCAAACTGTGACAGGAAGTCAAGAGAGATGCTCTCATCGCCACCGACTTTTCACTGCCACCGGCCCTGCGCTGCTAACACTGGCTAATAGAAGAAAGGGAAAAAAAAAGAGGTTGTGAATGGAAGGACAAAGGAAACAGACGGGGAGGATGACCCAGAGAGATAAAGGTCTACGAAGAGCTGGAAAAAAAAAAAAGATTTATGATGTCAGGGGAGGTCTGCCCTCCTGAAGTCTGAGCCACCAGTTCAAGTGGTGCTTTCTGTGAAAGCTGAGTGTTGGTCGGGTCCAGGCTGTCCCTGTGGGCAGGAGGACCAGGACCCTTCATAGCAGGAGAGGAGGACTGAAATACCTCTGATTGGTTCAAACAGAGGACCCTCCTGCTCTCTTTAAAGCCATGCAGCAGTATTCTATGTGCAGTTTTTTGTACTGTACCAGCTGCCTTCATTTCAAATCTATTCATAATGTCTGTCATCCATCCAAAGAAATGTCTGATTCCTGCTCAGTGACCTCACGTCCAATGACATTATTATTATTATTATTTTATTAATATTAATACAAACAGAAACAAGTGAGAAGAAGTCCATAATAACAGATTTATCTATAGAATATTCATTTGAACATTTTGTTGAAATAAATCCTCAGAGGTTGTAGATTGGTGAGTTTTTGTTGATCTTTGCATTTTCTGCTCTATCCTTTAACAATTCACATGTACATAGTCAAAGTGAAATCTATTGATAATTATTGCCTTGCTGGATGTTTAAAATGTGTTTCTGATGATTTATCTGTGTACAGAATATGTCCCGTCCACTCTACCACTGTTGCATTCGCCTTATTTAACCTGTACATATGTGATCTTTGAGAGTGGATGTGGATGACATTCCCTAATAAAACAACAAAGTGTCTTGAAAGATTGTCTCGTTATGTTTGAACACGGCTGAAAGATTCCAACAAATCAGATCCTCATGCTCAACGTTCAATGTTGCATATAAATATAATTTATTATTAGTCCTTAAAAATTCTTTCTTACACTTTGTACAAGAACTTGACAGATGAAAATGCAAGCAATTGCAAACAAACATCATGAGCGCCGGGAAACAGACAGGCTACATTCTCACTATACAATAATAAGACTCATGAAGCTGCAGGACGAGGGAATGCAAAAGGCTAGCCCACAGAGAATGTAGAGATTGTTTCAGAAAGATGCAGCTTGCATAGACAGCTTTACAACAAAAACTGGGACAACTGCCATTCAAAGAATACAAAGATCAAAGAAGGAACCGAGAACACCTGAACAATCACAAGTGCTGCTGCTGCATCAAAGGAATGTTGCGTTGACAACTCTAAACGCTAATGTTGCTGCACAGTGAGTCATGACTTCTGTCATCAACCAACAAACAGACGTCTGCTTTGAAAAGCACACCGATGTCCTTCAACTGTGGACAGAAAAAAAAAAAAGATTCTTCTCAAAATGACATTTAATAGATGATTATTTTCTGTATTAAATTTTAACATCGTACAGTGTATGTCAATTATTTGGTAAAAAGCAGTCGTATTCTGTTGAGTTGCTTCTATAAAAATATATTTTTTGATTCGTTTTTTTTTTACAGTCGTCTCTCCTCTCTGGTGTCTTTAATGTAGATAATATCATCCTGAACAACGTACAAACCATCAGCATCAGTCATGAGTTTTATTACGTTTGGGTAAATTGTCCACATTCTCCTCCATACTGGTTTAATTAGCCAATTGATCTGCTAAAAACATGCAAAGAATTAACCAACGCAACTCATCAAAACTATTTGAAGACATATAAAACAGGCAAACATAATTCAAAATCAATTATAATGAAACACAACATGAGTAAAAAATATTAAAGTAGTTAAGACAGCAACATTAACCTATTAATGATTACATTACGGTTCCTTTCTGTACATGTACATGTGGCTGACAAGGATGAGTCATTACAGCAAGTGTCCACCAGGAGGTGCTATGATACAGTCGAACAGAATGAGAGCAGAAACAGAAATGTGAGGACTTAGCAAAATATTCCATAAAATACAAAAAAAAAAAAAAAAAGATATGTATAAATAGGCATATTATTAAATATTATGTTATCACTGAACACATACTCGTCCATGGTGTTGCTATGGCGACAGGTTCTTGGGAGTGAGAGATGCCTCCTGTGATTGGAGCGTTCGCTTGATCCTCATGACCTCTCAAAGTGTAGTCTGTTGTTTAAAGCAAGGGCATCATCCACATATCCGCACAGTCCATCCAAATAACCGGACAGCTGTTTCCAAGGAAACTAGAGCCAAAAATATCAAGTTGTTGAACCAGGGAGAGAAAGAGAGATACAGAGAGAAATGACTGGCAGAGATTCTTGTTTACCCTCCAAGTTTTTACACCCTTTGTTGCCAATGTTTAACTGGGTCATGGCAGAGTAGACCAAGCTGTTTGTATCTTCTTACTTCTGCATGAGTACATACACACACACACACACACACACACACACACACACACACACACACACACACACACACACACACACACACACACATGCACACAGTAGTTTTTAGTGTGTGCGTGCATTTGTCATTGTGATGGGCGTCCCTCCTTTCTTGTTTTCCTTTTTATGTGTCTTCCTCCCTGGAATGTTGTGCTCCCCTGTCGGGCGGCTGTCAGTGCTCACTCACTAAAGGAACAAGGCTGTCATGGCGTCCCATCTCCTCCAGCACCTGGGCCAGGCGACTCAGGTTGCCGTCAGGGAAGTGCTGGGCCTCCCATAAGTCCAGGATCACTCCCGTTGGACTGGATTTGGTGGCGAAGTAGTTTAGATACCTGAATGAATGGTCGAATTAAAAGCAGAGAGTGGTGCTTTAAAAAAAAAGGTTAACGTATCTATGACATAAAACTGTGTTAATGAGCATTTCTCTTTATGGTTTTGCTATGTAAGAAGCAATAGGGGAAGAACTTTTTCCTTCAGTCCCCCCTATAGGCTGTTTATAAAGAGTAGATGTAGCCACCTTAATGTCACCCATTGGTTTGTGAACTTCTCTTTTGAAGCCTTCATTTTGACATAGCCAGAGATGACCATATTTGGGGTTAATACAGATTACAATATCTATCCTGGTTGACGGATGAACATGGTAGTATAAGATAACAAGCCCTGAAGCGAACCCTGCTTCACGTCAATTTCACTCCACAGTGGACCGCGAATTACACAATGACATCATACTGTATGGAAGAAGACTAAGCTTGTTTCATCTGCTAGGCTAAATCAAGATGTGAAGGACGAGTAGGGTTACTTTCAAACACGCTCTATATAATCAGACTCCGTTTCACGAGCACTAGAGACGCCCCCTGCTGACTAATAGAAATAATGCAGGTTTAAGGCTTTCCCCTGTAGGTTTAGAAACCAAGAGGCTTCATCCACTATTTTATAAAAGTCTGTGATTTTCTCCTTAAAGAGTTTTTCAATTACTTTAAACTGATTTTTTTTTTTGTCGAGGATTACTTTTTAGTTTACAATTACAATTCAGTTTATAGCAAGAAGCAAATGACAAATTGAGTCAAGGGAAATGTAGGAAATAACAGCCTGCTATCAGTAGGAAATAACGGTCTGCTATCAGCTGATGACAGACTGAAGTCTCTTTTAATATGTAAAAAAAATCCAAAGCTAAACCACATTTTTCCAAATGATGGTTTTTCTAATCCGTTTTGTCACCCAGTTTTTATGATATTTAAAATAAGGCCACAAAAATTCCAGGATTTGATTGAAAATGTTGAAACTATGGATACACTTCTGTTCTGTGTGCATCATCACTGTGGGTGGTGAATAAGAGGCTGGTTCACGTCTCTCCTTCCTTCACGCCACACTCTGAGTGGTCTCGTCAATCTGCAGCTGCTGCCTGTGATAAGACCCCCCCTGCTGAGGCAGGACCTTATAAATGGACACACACTGTACCTCCATCACACGCACACATGACTATCGAAGACGCATGGGTAACGTTTTGGAAAAAAGCGTGGCCGTTCTATCTTTGTCTTTTTCTTTTTCTTTTTCTGTCTGTCTCACTTCAGCCGGTCTCACTTCATCTCAATGCATCTGACTGAAACAGCCAATTCCCAAAAGAAGAATCAAAATCAAATAAATATGAGATTTGTTGTCCAGTCTTCCCTCTCTATTCTTAATAAGCATGATGATAAAAAATGTTGATAAACAAAATTGAAAGCAGCTTTTTAAAGACATTTTTGGAGAAGACAAGTTGCTCTCTGAAAACGGAAAAATGATGACAGCCTGTTTCTGTGACACCTAAGGGCATAAATCTGAGTCTCTGTCTCCCAGCTCTGTTCCTCGACCCACCTATCTAGGTTTAGTTTGTGGGCCAACATCCTCCAGTCATTTCCTCTGGTCTGAGGTGCGTCCAGACTGCCACACAACTTCTGTCGGATGGAGACGGGGATGCGAAAGGCGTTTGGCCCAACCAGTGTGGTGATGTTACTGGCCGGGTCCAGCAGAGAAGTGTCAATGCTCTGGGAATCCTGCAGACAAAAAGAGAGAGAGAGAGAGAGAGAGAGAGAGAGAGAGAGAGAGAGAGAGAGAGAGCGAGAGAGAGAGAGAGAAAGAGCGAGAGAGACTGTAGTAGGGGACTGCAGGTACATAATTCATGCTTAAATGCAACATTACGAAGGTGAAATGGATTTAGAGCACAGCACATTTAGATTTCTGGGTTGTATAAAAAGCAGATTTTTTCCATCTTATTGCCGTCCTTTAATCTATGTAGGCCAAGTGATTTTCTAATAAATTGCATGTGGAGGATTAAGTGCAGGAGGTCTGGTTACAAAACCAGAGCAGGTCCCAGAGACAAATAAGGCGAGGCCAGGCGGGGACACAGCACTGCACTACATGCACTATAATTCAACTCATTACTGAGCACAAAGCCCTCATGCTCCTCCATCCCTCATGCTCTGCTCTCCTGGCCAGATGGCCTTTGTGAGGCAGGTACAGCGCGACTACAGGGTGATTATTCCCCCTCTGCTCTTGTCCTGTCAAAGGAGGGATGGTATGAAGGCTGCAGGTTCAAGAGTCTCTCTCAGCTTTTGAAAACGTTGCAAAGAGATCGAGGGGGGAAAAATTTGCAAAAAAGTTGTTACTGGAGGAAATTCATTTTCTCTGAATTCAAAATTCAGGTAAAAAAGATAAAGATTCTCAGATTATATTTTTTCCTTTCTGAAACTTGTATGTAGACTTGAGTTATGGCCGATACTGAGTAGCTGAAGGATACTCGCTTGATAAAAACAACATATTTGTGGTGGAAAAACTCGGACAATTAGCATTTGCTACCTTTGAAAAAAATTCCAATCTTTGCTAGGACTTGACTGTTGTCATTTATTATCGTCATATAATAATTTACCTTAAACCCTGTAGATCAATGAGGGGATAGCAATTACTGTAGAGTACAGTACAGTTCAGTACGTTGACGTTTTAGCTGTCGGAGGCCAATATCAACACTAGTGTTGGGATTGAAACTATACCAATACTGATACTAGTTTCAATATGAATATTGGTATAATTACTGAAGTGATACCAATATAATATCAGTATTGACACCACACTTTTACCAATACTCTTATCAATATCATTACTAAAGTGTTCCAAATTCTAGCAGAACAACTCTCTAACCAGATGATCAAAAAGTTTCACCACGCGTTCTTTCACAACATTCTTTCGCCCTGTTATGGATGAAATTTAAAGCTACATTTATGGAAGTATTGACCATACCTCTGAGAGCGTTGTGTCCAGCTGAAAAATCTGTCCCTCTCCCTCCACTTGGCGCACACATATCTTACAGGCCAGGTCCACCGTGCTGGCAGAGAAC